ATATTCATTTAAACTTGCATGAAAAAAGACAAGGCAACAAAGAAAAAAAGTGAATTAATGTCTGACCAGAGAACTAAGGGAATTAGGCAGGATTGTATAGATATATCAAGGGCAGAAGCCCTGCTAGAGAGCACATCAATAAATAACAAAAGAGATGAAATTAACAAGGAGTCCAATAGGAATAAGATTATTTAAATCTGTCTTGAAAACCAGGGAAAAAAAGATGAGAGGAATGGCCTTGAGAAAATAGCGCCATATATGTACACGCTACTAAAACTAGCCACTTACAACCATAAGCATTCCAGAGTAAACTAAGCAAGTTTAACTAATTAATATATTGATTCTGAATAATTAATGAATTTTAAAAGACATTGGTGAGGAAAACTTAGCAAAGGGTAGATTTGGTTGCTTTTGTGGCAGCTTGTCCACAAATATGGTCTGATTTCCAGCATTTGTACCTATGCAAGTTGGAAAGTTTCTCCTGCCAAATGTAGGATTGCTATAAAGAAAAAGTATATCAGGGAAAGTGAATATAAGACTGTAAGGTTGCATTCATCCTAGACAGTGAAGGAATCATCTATGATCAGGATTTAAAAAGCATAAGCCTTTATCAAAAACTGCCATCAAATGATGCTGGGGAGAAAAGCAGCATTACAATTCAATGCAACTGATCTTTGAGGTTAGTTTTTCAAATTTTAATTTCCAAATGTTTGGCAATTACATTTGCAGATAATACTAAATTTGCACCAAGAACTGAGAGAACAAGAAAATAATTCAAAGAAAGTGAGTGAAGTTAGAAATAAAATACAATTCAGGCAAGCAAGACATAGCTTCTGGAGACAGGAAATGCAGACACTGAACAGGGACAGAAACCTGGAAAGGATGAGAGCAAAGTAGAGATGAGCTGACAATGATGAAAGACCTGCTACTATTTCAGTCTGCAGAAATATCACGCCCCAAAGGAAGGGGGAATGGCAGACCGGACGCATCCATGATCAGGAAGATCAGTTGCCCAAAGCACCCTGGCTGGAGCTGAGAAAAGATGACATGACACTGGAGTAAAATTAAGTAGAAGCCAAAAGCAGCAGCGTGATCTCTCCCAAACAACTCTTCCTCTAGTCTAGGAAATAATAAACAATACTCTCTGATCGCAATTCCTTCCATTCAATCCAAAGTGGAATTCCACAATCTAGAAAAAAACAAAGGAGACATTTCCTGCCTGTGACAACAACCAACCAATGGAATGACTTGACTTCAGAAGTTGTGGGTGCTCCATCACTGGAGGCTTTCAAAAAGAGACCGGAGAATCATAGGGTATCCTGCTCAAGCAGGGAGTTGGATTAGACGACTTCCAAGGCCCCTTCCAACTCTTATTATTCTATGTTCAATCAAGGTGCTTCAAGAAGAAACCTCCTTGTAAACAGGTCTGTATAAATGTCTCAAAACCACAAGCCTAAACAAAAGGCCTCAAACTGGGCAAACAATACAATCAGTAGAAGAGCTTGTGGGGAAAAGAGCCGGCTTTAGAATAAGAGGTAGAATGACTGCATAGCTCTCCTCTCTTCAGTATTAACACTCATAAAAATAATTTATATCCATAAAATAAAAAGAAAGTATTCTTTGCTTTCAATATGCCAAATCCTGGTAGCACATCCTCTTTAAACTTTTCTCAATTATTGGCAATCAAAGAATTCTCTTTAAATAAATGTAGCAGAAAACTGAAAATAGATTCCAACTTCTCCCACTTCACATTTTCCAAAATCTTCCTACTCTCATATCTTTCTCTAATCATGTGAATTCCTCTACTGAAGAAGAATGGCTCTGTTTGCATGACCAATGCATGTGGATGCATAGGATGTGACCTATGATTACACAGCTCAGTCAAGTAGCAAGGACAGGATTAATTTTAATCCCAAACCAACTGTCCCTTAGGTAACCTTGCTGCCAATATGATGACAAAGTGGTCCCACAAAAAAGCCTTCTCTAGGAAGTCTGACTCTGTATTTTTTACATTTCAAATCTTCCCTCCATAATTCCGTGCAGGATAGAAAAGTGGAGGAAAGGGGTGGAATTAGATAAGCCTCCTTCCTAAGAGGTGCCTGCTGTGGTATTGTCACCAATATGGATTTTGCAGATTATTTTTCAGAGAAGAAAAGTTAACAACCAGAAAATATTGTTCTCCATCTTCCTCTGCAAAAGCTAGAATGGCTTAAAAATGGTTACTACTTGGTTGACTGGGTCACCTGGATCGTAGGCGGCAAGATGGATAGCAAATTTAATAAAATAATAAAATAAAATAAATAAAATAATAATATAAATATGCTGCTGGTGTAAAAGGAACAGAACATTTTTTTTAAAAAAAATTGATTTAGATGCCGCCCTTCTCCGGAGACTCAGGGCGGCTTACAATGCATTAAGCAATAGCCTTCATACTTTTGTATATTTATACAAAGTCAGCTTATTGCCCCCACAAACTGGGTCCTCAATTTACCTACCTTAGAAAGGATGGAAGGCTGAGTCAACCTTGAGCCTTGGCGAGATTCGAACTTACAGTAATTGCAGACAGCTGGTGTTAATCACAATGCTATTAGTCTGCTGAGCCACCAGGCCCGTTTTTTTCAAGTATAGCTATCATTTTACTCCTAATCCTACCCCAAATCCTCTACCCTTCTAAAATCCTAGGACAAATGTTGTTCTTGCTCCAAAGTGAACATCACACTATTGGTCACTAGCAGCAATATGCGCATAGCCAAGGAAACTGAAACAACCGTGATGAAGAATAGCAGCTATGGCATTTTTTGGCAGTAGATAGTGAAAAACATTGCGGGAGGCTGGAAATGAAGGGATATATGTTTAATGAGGCGTCAAGTGCCTGGGACTGCAAGTATGCCAAGAGAGGAAGGAGATGCTGCACAGCACTAGCAAGGGACACCATATAACTTCTCCCCCTGCACGGATTCTGATAAATAGAATCTCTTTGTAATTCAATAAAGTCCCAGCAGTTACTGTGGTTCATCCATCGTACCCAGAAGACTCCAACTGCTGCTCACATAAATTTCCCAGACCAATATGCACAAGTAAAGGACTTACTGGATGGTAGGCACTAGTGATCCTCCCCAAATGCAGCATCAGCTCCCGATTCTGAGGGCAGCAATAAAGCATTACTGGAATTCAAAGGAAGCCCTCTACATTCTGCCAAACAGTTACAATTTATTTTGTCCTACAAATAATGTTCTATTAGATAGGTTTTGCTTGTCAGTTTTACAAAAAAAAATTGTCTTCTTTATTGAGTGCTATATTTAATCATTTTGTTTTAATTGCTCTAGGCCACATGACATGATGGTCAGGGATGGGAATATAAATTATTTTTACATAACCTGTGATAATAGTTTGATACTGTCTCAGATAAATTAAACTAGGGCAGGGATTAACAATGAGGGACCATGTGGCCCCCTCTGAAATTTTTTGGTAACAAACCATTTGCACCAGTTATGTAAGAGGCACGTTACAGCGTCTAGTTTGTTGGTATTAAGAACTATCAATTTGGTTTCAGGATATTCTTAAGCACAGACTTCACCTGTATATTTTTGCCTGTAATCAATAATCAATTCTGTTCACAAGCAGAGCCAGGACAATTTCACTGCCAGTGCCCACTGTGCAATCCCTTTCTGTTAAGGACTTTTAGCAGAGGACCAAGAGAACATTCAGTGCTTCACTTTTTATTGCTCCCTTTCTTAGGATGGCTGTATATGCCAAAGTAATTTCTTAATACAGAATATATCACTATTTTATTTGTTCTGTGCATATCACTTTGGAACGATTCAATCCTAAAATGCAATTTATAAATAGATTAATTAATTCATGTAATCTTATACTAAACATTTCGTATCCTCTAACAGTTACATAGGTATGGCTTGCAACCAATGAGAAAGTTTTTCTCCCTGAAATGGAATAACAATTCATATTGAGAACTGTTTTATAAATGTTATGAAGGAAGAAAGAAAAAGAAACTTTCCAAATTACTATATTTCTAGGTTGTCTCAACCCTTTCCTCATTAGAACATGTGAAAAGAAGAATCTGTAAAATAACACAAAGATTTTCAACATTTTTTTCAAGATGTAGTTCATTACATCTAATATATTACAAGAGCTGGTCATAGATATTTCTCTTTTCACATCCCACACAAAATGGAACACACAAGGCTGGGGAAATAGCACACCAATCTAAGACTACTAAAATGTGAAGAGAGAATCTTATTTATCTTTCTTATAGAAAATGCATTTATCCAGTGAATCCAAAGTGTGTATGTGTACTTAAATAGAATGAAAAAGTGATCGTTTCAACAAATCAAATATCACATGCCCAAAAGTAAAGAAAACTGAGCTTGGTTCATATAGTGCATAGTACATGGTTTTATTCCTGAAACTGTTTAGAAAATTCAAGTAAAACTAATTAGGAGATATTACATGTTTACCAGGTACAAATATTGTTCCAGACTGATTTATGCTTATAAGGCCTTTAAAAATTGAGCCCACATCTGCACCTATCTATGCATTATTGCAAATTACCTGTTTCTTTAGTTATCTATTGTTGGAAGAAAGCCCATCTGGGTTCAGTTCCAAGTGGGGAGAAAGACACTGAAAACAGGGAAGCTGCTTGGAAGGATGGTTTAATGGTGAACAGGACCACATGGGTTTGAAGTCCTGGGTAGCTGACCACATGGAATGGAGATTTATACCCTCTCTTGGGCTTTGAACGTGAGCTTCCTGTTCTTGTGGCAAGGGCATGTATCTTATTGGTTGCAGACTCCCATGTGGAGTCATGTTTGTCTGAATCAACTTTGGTTGAACCTTGCTGGGTGATGTAATGAAGGGGCTTGGTTGTGCCATGTGGTGACCTAGATAATCTATTATGTCCTGGAGGGTCATGTCTTAATCCCATCACCCTGGAGCTGAGGTCTTTTGTTTTGTAGATAAACTGGTCCAGTCTTAATGTGCACCAAATATCTGCTGGGGGCAGGGAGCTGCTCTTTCTTCACTCTCCATTAAACAACACAGCTGAAGGATGAGCAGATACTTTTGATCCTTTCATCACAACTACAGAAGGCCTTTTCACGAGGGACATTATTTCAATGGTATCAAACTAGTGGAGTGCTAGATGCAAGAGAGAGAGGTAATTTTACCTGTTAACAGGGTATAATTATATTAAGAATATGTGCTGTTTATATAATAGGAAAGAGTATTAAATAGTATCCCCTTCTTTTTCTAACAATAAACGCAAGCTGGTAGCAGTTCTTAAAGGAAAATTTAAAGAACAGGAGCAGCGAATTAAGGATTTATCAATTCAAAGGCTACAAAAGAAATTGACAGTGGAAACAAATCACCATGAAGAAAACAGCCAAACAGAGGAATAACCTCAATGGATCCGAGCAATAGCAAGAGATATAAAAGATGTACTATTTTCTGGAACTCAGTAACCATTTTCAAACTCTTACAGCTGAAAGAAACACTGAAGAATGGAAGACAGGATGGTGGAAGTTAAAAGGTAGAGAGGACACAACTGTCTCCTGTAAAAAGCCAAACAGAAGACTCAGCACAATAAGTAACTGAAACATATGTATGCCAACTGGACCCATCAATTGCCTTGAGTGAGAACCAGGAACTTCCAAGATCTACCAGGTTCCCCAATTTTTTTTTTCTGATAATACACGAGGGGACAAATAATACTGCAAAGAATGGCTCTGAAAACTTTGGAACAAAACTCTGGGAGATGAGGTGGTATTCTCATCTATTTTTCTAGTTCATGGAAAAAAGATTAAAAAGAGAAAGAAAGATACTGCAATTCAATAACTGGCTACACAGTTTGGGTCAATGGGAGAGATTTGGTTTCCAGGATGATGGTTTTAGTAATCTAGGTGATGAACCACTGTCACAAGACAAGTTTTATATTTCCAAAGAGTGTTTGTCCAAAGCAAGTGAAACTTGATTAGAAGGGTTTTAACTGAATCCTATGGCAAGCAAAAGTAAAAGAATTGGAAAAATGCACTATAGAAAGCGGGAGTGTTTCTGCAATGGAGCCTCTTAAACCATTCAAATAAGTCAGCAAGATCACTGGTTCATGAAGTTCATGACCTTCATTGACTATACACTAATACTCAAAATATAAGATATAAGCAAGATGAGTATGAACTCTCGATACAGAAAAGCTAATATGCTTTATTAATTTTAATGGAGACCTAGTGGGGTGACTCCCAACTGAAAAAGAGCAGTAAAGAAAACAATTTATTCAAAAGGAATAGAAACTATAGAAAGGGGAGGAGTTCCACTATCTGTTAAAAATATCAACTTCTGCTCAGAAATCTAAAGCAATCAACTTAACAATGCTGCAGAGAGCATCTAAATTAAAATAACTAATGGAAGAAATAAAAGCAATATTGTTGACATCTGCCATGGGATGGGTCATCCAACCAATTAGGTGCGGATACCTTTCAAAAGCAAACTACGGCTTTTTTGAAGCAGCAAGAATTCACAAAAATCCAGCAAACTATAGACCAGCTACTCTGAGATTATAAAGGGATTGCTTCCAAAGTTCTTATCTATCAAAGCAATATTACTCAGCTTTCCAGACTAATTTTATCTCATTTTTGAGTGGGTAAATTCCTTAACAGATTGTGGGATATATTTCTGTGGACACAATACACTGCTCAAAAAAATAAAGGGAACACAAGCAGAAGACATCCGAGATCTGAATGAATGAAATAGCCTTATTAAATACTTTGTTCGTTACATACAGTAGTTTTGTGTTCCCTTTAGTTGTTTGAGCAGTGTATAAACTACTGTATGTAAAGAACAAAGTATTTAATAAGGCTATTTTATTCATTCAGATCTCGGATGTCTTCTGCTTGTGTTCCCTTTATTTTTTTGAGCAGTATATATCCTGAGATCCGAAGTGCATTTGATAAATACTGATTAACAAAGTACTTAAGTGTGGGCTGGATAGCATCACAATTAAATGGGAATGTAGCTGTTTCAAAAGTCATACTCAATAGGGTGTTCATCAAACTGAAGAGAGGTATCAAATAGGATGTCATACATAACAATTCTGGGCTTTATACTCTTTAATATTTTTATCAATGACATGGAGATCCAAGGAATATTTATTGAATTTTAAAAATGGGTGAAATTGCTAATTCCCCAGAAAGCAGAAATAAAATTGAAATTGAATTTAATAGGTTGGAGAAATTAACTGAATAAACTTTAAGAGAGCAGCAAAGTTTTTATTTAGAAAATAAAACATGATATGGGGAACTTAATTTCATATTTATGAAAAAAAATAAAATAGTAATTGATTGCAAAGAACATATAAGTAAACAGTGTGATAAGAGTACAAAATGTTAAGTGCAATTATAGGCTGTATTAAGTTATTGAAAGTAACAGTACTTAACTGGTCAGACCCCACCATGAAGTACTGTGTCTAGTTAACAGTGATCTTCGACACAGAGAAAATCAGAAAAACTGGATTAGGTTCACAGAATGTCAATGAAGATGGTCAGGGTAATAGAAATTAACCTATATAAAAGATATTGAATGAGTGGGATACTTTTAGTCCTTGGAAAAAGTTAAGGAAATCTGATAGCACTTTCAAAATACCTGAAAGATACTGAATTTAAGGTGCAGGACCTAGAATAATATATTTAAGTTGAAGGACCCTTAATAATGCATTAAGGAAGGAAGTTTTTAACAATGTTAGAAAATACATTCTCAAAGTAAATGCAATTTGATGTGGGAATCAGTTATCTGGGGAGGTGAAAGTTTTCCTGTCACTGAATGTATTCAAACAGAGGGTGGATAACCATCTGTCTGAAAGTTTTTACCTTGAATATCTGCACTGAGTAGAGTTAGGTTTTATAATACTATTTTCTATTGCCAACATTGCAAAAAAATTCCCATTTTTAATAAAATGTACACTATTAGTTATTTGAGCTATATTAAGAAACAAGTGTAATATAATTTCCTTAAATTTGCATTTTAACATTACATGTTTTCACAGCTTTTGAACTTATTAATTAAAAACTCAATAGCACTTGAATACCTGTAATCAATGAAAAGAATTGGAGCATTTTAGACTTCTCACATTATTAGTGTTTCACTTGAGTTTGAATTGTTTATCTTTATTTTTATGTATAAAGTATGTCACCAAGCCTTCAAACCATGGAAAGTTAAAAGTTCATCAAATTTTAAAAGTTGAAGTTTTATCCTTGAACCGTAAGAAAAATTATTCAGTTTCTCTCTAATTCTTGTATAGACTGGTATTTGCAAGGCTCTTTTGGCAACCAAAAGCACTAGTTATGTAGGATAGTATACTAACATTGTGCATTAATACTCTTAAAAATGATATTAAATAATAAAATTAACAATATTTATAATTGTAACAGTAAAGAGTTAGTTTGGGCCTTGAAATGAAATCAGAATGTCAGGATTCATCTCTTAAAAATTGAAACCCTAAAAAAGATATATTTAAGAGCCCTTTGCCTTTCAATATTTTCCCTCAAATATACGGTACTTTTTTTTACTGCTTCATGCAGACTGACAAGCCATGCAACATTTCTGAAGTGGAAAGAAGTTTTCACACAGGATCAAACCATAATATTTTTTCAGTTAACTTATATATAATTATAGTTTTAGTTCTACCGAAAGAGGGAAGGAAGATAGTAATTTGTTGATTAAAAAAATGAATCAAAGCAATGTAAATTTTATGCATAATGTGGTTCAGCTAGGAATCCTTAAACAAGCGTTATCCTTCTTGAAGCGTGTCATAAAAATATGTAACAAAAATATTTTAAGACTACCCTGAAATGCATTAGAGAAATGCACCCTGTAGGAAAAGGATGAATGTTCCCAAAGTCACAAAAAAATGGAATACCCTCTCAACAACACAGTGTTAAGGATTCCAAATATTTTTTTTTAATTATACCTTTATTGTACAGTATGCTGCATGTTTTCAAAATACAACACATCCGCACTACGAATGTACTTTAGACTGAATTATAGACCAGGGTCGCGCGGAGTTGGAGAAAACTGAGGCTGATTTATGACATGGTTCTTCAGCGTAATCTGACAATGAACTTTAATTTTCTATATTAGAAAATTATATAGCGTCTTTCTTTCCAAAGATCAATTGCTGCCCACCTGTTGCTTGAATGTGAACTACTGTAGCGGTAGCATCGCCAGCCCAAAAAAAAGCCATCAGAATTGGTGGGGACCATCAACTATCATACCAACTAATTTGTGGTTATGGGGAACAAGCGAAAAGGAAGGGAACGGCATTAAGGACCCCATAGATCACCCAGAAAAAGAGGGGACGAGGGTGGAAAGCAAAGGAAGAGAGAGAGATCTGCAAAGCCCAACACGGGAAGGGGAGAAAAGAAAGAGTTACCGAGTACAAACAGGACCACTCCACCGCAGCTGCTTCCGCCTTCCCTACTTCCGTCCGACCCTATCCTGTTTTATGCGTTCTCTCCGCAAGGGCCGCTGGGAAATGTAGTACCGTGAGTCACCCTCTTAAATTTGGCGTTCCTTCAAATATCTTTCCCCGATCTAGTTGTCCTAAGAAAAGTCACGATTAAGCGCCTGAAGAAATTCTTCTTTTGGATTTGCATAGTCGCTGACGTTCATCCGGTGAACATCGGACATAATCTAACCTTGTTGAAGAAGCGCGCCATGCGACTGCTTAAAGTTTACGGGCTGCTTTTGTCCTTGAATTTTACCAACGTTATGTACTTAGTGGTAGGAATAGAAGCTCTCTGCTCTGCACATGCGCAACAATATAGATAGATAGATAGATAGATAGATAGATAGATAGATAGATAGATA